ACTTTCAAACAAGGCGGATTTTCAGGTAGTACCATTTTCAGTGACTAGCGATAATGACCATGGAACCATTAGCCTTATTACAGGGAAATACCCTTTTCCGGTTCTTCCCAAAATCTAATCAACTGGCCTAAGAACGTGATCCGTCCCCTTCTCTCTCTCTCTCTCACTCTCTCTCCTTCTTTACAGTCTATCGGTAAATATCTTTGTAATCCTGTACCTACTCTTATCTAGCAACCACTCATTTAAAGTTAAACCAGTACACATCATATTAATGATGATAGCAATGTTGATAATGATAAAAGGAATAATGATAATGACGATAATAGTGATCATAATAGCAGTGATGATAACAATGATAATGTTCATAGTGATAATGGTAACTGTAATGGCAATAATAAGTTATTATAGTAATAACATTAATATTGATAACATAATGATAATAATTATTATATTATTAATACATATAATAACAATAATAAAGAGTTTCAATAACAATGATAATTACAATCATGATAATTTCATTGATAACAAGGAAGATAAAAATAAAGAGTTTCAATAACAATGATAATTACAATCATGATAATTTCAATGATAACAAGGAAGATAAAAATAATAACGATAATGATAATGGTGATAATGATGAAGATAACAATAGTAGGTGTCAAATGATGATGACATCAACAATCATTATGATCATGGCTATCATGGCAATGATGATGATACTACTTGATAATTGTCATCATTGCCATTATCATTGGTACTGACATTCATAGAGAAAGTAGTAATAGCAATAATAGGAATAACAATAATAAAAAAATAGTGATAATGATAGTAAAATATTAAGAAATATATGAAAACAATAATAGTAATGATAATGATGCTGATAATGATAATGATCTTGAAGATGATGTGATGGTAAACTACTAATACTAATATTGATAATGATAACAGTAATGATAATGATAATAACAGTAATAACAGTAGTAGTAGTTGTAATAATTCTCTTGATAATAATGATGGCAATGATGATGATGACAATAATGAAAAGATTACGAATAATCTTAATAATGATAATTATAGTAATAATATTGATGATGATGATAATGATAACAGTAATAATAATGATAATAATGATAATATTAATAATTCTAATATTGATAAGACTGATAATAATAATATCACTGACAACAACAATAATAATAGTAATGATGATATTAAACTTGATAACAATGATAAAAGCAACGAATAATAATAATAATAATAATAATGATCCACTTCCCTCCTGTTCCTCCTTAAACTCCCTCACCTCCTTCACTCCCCCTCCCTCCCCCCTCCCATTCTCTTTTTCCTCTTTGAGCGTTCTTTTGCCTTCTGTGTCTCCTTCCCCATCTTCCTTTTCTCTTTAAGTCTCCCAATCCTTCCCCCTCCTTTTCCCCCTCCCCCCCCTTTCATTTCCTCCTTCCTTTCCATTTCTCCCTCTCCCCCTTCTCCTCCTTTCTCCACTGATTTTCGTGTGAATAATAAATGTCCATAGACTGACGGTCTAACTACTACAAGGCAGTGTACTTGCCTCAAAAAGAATGATAATTATAATAACAATGATGATAATAACAGCAATAAGATAATGATAATGGTAAGAATGATAACAAAAATGATGATAATAACAATAAAAGCAATAATGATAATGATATTGATAGAGCTGAAATATGATTCTCCTATTCGTACGAGTGTATCGGTGCATTCTTTAATATTTTCAGCCTTAATCTTCTTCCCACTTTACACCAAAATGAAGTGACTTTAAATCCGCAGTCACAAAGAATATAATTCTAGGCATAACATGCACAACTTCCATCAAAATGAAGTTTTAGAGACCGCAGTCACGTGAATATAATATCAGGCGCAAAATTCAAGTGTAATGACTGGCCGGAAGAATAATGAGCAAAAATATATGATTGAAATGATAACATCAATGGTCATCATAAAGGATCATCGATAAAAGAAAAAAATTATGCCTTTACAATAATAAAATTACGTATAATAATGATAGCAATAATATCAGTAACAACGATAATATCCTAATAAACAAAACAACAGGTACGTTAATAATAATGATGACAATGGTAATGATAATGATAGTAATTGTTATAATACTACTAATAATAAAGCAACAGTAATAAGAATGGTAGTAATAGTAATGATAATGAAAATAATAGTCGGGATAATATGATACTGATAACAATAATAATAACAATAATAATAATGATAACGTTAATTAAGTTAATTATAGTAATACTCCTGAGGATGACTATAATAATAGTTATGATAATAAGAATAATAATAATTATAACGATAGTAATATAGTAATAACAATAATGATAATAATATCTACAAATAATAACAACAATAGTAATGGTAGTAATTATAGTGATAAAGATGGTATTAATGATAACAATAATAATAATAGTAGTAAACAATAATAATAATTACTGCCATTATCAGAAAAGTAATTATAATAATAACAACAATGATAATGTTGATGATGATATGATAAAAGTAATACATGTAATAGTAATGGTATTAATAATGATAGCAACAACAACAATGACAGTGGTAATAACAATAGAATAGTCACAATAATAATAATAGTAATAGCGATGATAATAATAATGATAAGAAAAATAGTAACAATAACAATAATAATAGTGATGATATGATGCACCCCATATGTAGCCGAAGGAAATGTTGAATAATACTGCATGCACGTGTAAATACCTATGATATATATATGCAGATGCTGACAGATTTAAAACCTATTGAAAAAACAGTTTCCTAAAATGGATATCATATTCTTAATTCAAAAAAATGATGAATAAATGAAAAATAAATGAAAAATAAGTCCACACATTAAAAGACTTGTTGCAGTACAATAAGCATTATGCTATATTGTTCGCTGCATATAATGCGCATGGATGTGTACATGTTTTCATGCTCGAGTCTTTTTTTTTAATATTTCGTCCAGATCTAGCGTTTGGTTCCTTGCCTGACCTGTATATAAGCGTCAGGCAGGCGAGGAGGATAGTCAGTATTACTCAAGCCTTCTTGTAGTTACCTCGCCTCATCCGCCTCTTGACATCATGAATTTCAAGGTAAAGTGCGAGTATGTTTCAAAAGTATGGTTGGAGTGTGTTAAAGTGTGTTTAAAAGATGAGGTCTCATATATTGTGGGAATTTTGGATAGGGAAGTTAATGAATTGAGGAATATATTCATGTAGTAAAGAGTTCGGGCTTTTAAACCACTACTTCAGAAAAGTTTTTTTTTTCCGACAAGCTTTTTCTTGCATGTTGTAACTCAGGTATAAATAGTCTCGAATGCTTCGAAGCTACAGATACCTGCTTCGTTCGCCGTGTAAACGTAACACCAAACTGAATTCTAAAATACCTTTTCTCCGAAAGGTTTTCCTCGTGCTGATGACCATCGCCACCCTGGCCACCGCCCAGCTGTTCGGAGGGCGTAGACGCAACGACGGATGTTCTCAAGAGCTAGAGTCTATGAATGACGTAGTGAACACTCTGACCGACACCATCAACAGCAGCACGGACATGATGATGCAGAGTTTCGGAGAATTCATGGACGCTGTTGCAAATACGCTCGCCGAGGCCACGACGTCCTAAGGGAATAACGCAGGACGACCACAAGACGACTCTCGCTGGCTGAAACGACCTCTTACTGTTCCTCTGGCATCAAATCGATTAATTGAAGAAACAAGTTAATGGGACCGAAGATTTCCCAACCGTTGGTGTTTGTTTTTTCCAAGGAATATTCTGAAAACTCGTCGATGCATGTGCACCTTCTCAATACACATGAATGTTCCAATGTTACCTGCACTTCAGTTCTTGTGAATCATTAAAACTTTACCTGAAGACTGGAGTTTCAATTTCAATCGGAACTTTACTTAAACAAATAACTAATAAATGAACGAATGAATGAGTGAATGCATGCATAAATACATACATTTAGATATACATGAATACATACATGTATGCATATATATATATATACATACATGTGTATATATGTACACACACACATGCACACACTCATAAACACACACACACACATACATATATATATATTTATATACATTCATTTATATATATACAAACATTTATTCATACATACATCTATCTATGTATATACATACATACATATATATATATATATATATATATATATATATATATATATATATATATATATATATATATATATATATATATATATATATATATATATATATATATATATATATATATATATATATATATACATGCACACACGAATACATATATATGTGTATATATACACAAACAAAAGTACATACATAATTATATACATACGTACATGAGCAAATATATACATATATATATGCGCATACATATCTATATATACATACATAAATATATATATGCATACACATACACACATATACACACATAGATACATATACAGATGCATAGATATATAAATAATATATATATATATGTGTGTGTATGTATATATGTATATATACATATATATGTGATATACATACATACATACATATATATATATGTGTGTGTGTGTGTGTGTGTGGGTATGTGTATGATCATCGATAAAAGAGAGAAAAATTATGCCTTTATAATAATAATGATAATTGTAATAAAATTACGTATAATAATGATAGCAGTAATATCAGTAGCAACGATAATGTCTGTAGATATGTGATATATTAGTGTCTGTGTATATACCATACCATAACATGTATACAGTTGCTGGGAAGTCTTTCCTGGTAATTGCGGATCGACTCTCCGGCTGCCCCGTCATCGTTCCCTGTGGTGCCTCATCTACAGCGTCACGCACCACACGCATGTTCTGCTGTTACTTCAGGGACGTTGGTGTTCCCCTCCGCTTGAGGACTGATGGAGGACCCCAGTTCACCAGCTACGAGTTCTAAGAGTTC